AGCAACCTGGTCTCTACTCTCCAGATGCCCAAAGCACTCCTCCACTTGTGACAACCAAAAATGTCACCAGACATGGCTATATGTTCCCTGGGGAGCAAAACTGCCCCCACTGAGAGTCGCAGCCTTACTTCCACCCAGTCATCTTCCCTTCACCATTCAGTCTTGTCACCACGGATTCCAAAGTATCAGATTTCCCCCAGCACACCTCCATTAATGGTTTCCTAGGAAAACCAAGTCACCTTCAGCCTTCAGCCTAGACTGGAAGTGTTGGTGGTGATTAGCTCTATCTTAAGCACAACAGAGTTGTAAGTTAGGCAGTGTGAGTGCCAGAGGGGCCTGTGAAGGATGTAGTTAAGATACAGATAAAATGCGTGAAGAAGCATTTTCAGAACTTGAGTTTTTCTCAGTCATCCCAAGATACTCTCAAGGTGTCCACATTTTTTGTCTGTCTTTGCATAGAGGGAGAATGCACATGCGCTGAAGTGCTGAGAAGGCAGAGAGAAAGGGCAGTCCAAATCCCAGAATGTGAGATCTCTGACCCCTGGCTAACAAACACTCCACCCAGTTGTAGGCAAAACAGAGAAGAGTCACGAAGAGATTTACCTGCAAATTATGCGAAACTTTACATGCAAGCCTTGATCAGCAGCAGTCAAGTCTAAATTATCCCTAGGCAAGTGCTGAACTACTTTCGAATTCTTGTGGAAAACAATCCCCTGATTTCCTTAACTGAGGCTTTTGTAGATGTGACATTGTCACCAGTGATACTTGCTCTGACATGTAACCTGTATTCTCACAAAGATGTAGAAGGAAATAACCTGAAATCTAAAAACACAACTTGATTTTCCTAATGGGAAGTGAACCAGTGAATTTACAAGCTCTTAGGACAGGAAAATGCTCTTTGGGGCATTTCTTCTGGGGAAGGCAGTGTCGGGGTGGCTGGAGGGGAGTAGACAGATGGATAGAATGGGGCATAGGGTAGAAGTTGGTTCCTCTGTTTCATTGCAAATGGATATACCTCTCCACACCCAGGAAAGAGAGATGTGGAAGAGAGCAAAGAAACTCTTGACCATTGACCAAGGACCCCAAATCCCAGTTTAAGATCCACGCTCACAAGTAAGCTTTATTCAACAATCACTGTGAGCTCTCTTTATGGGTAAAAGCATGGACAATACAGGACTTACTGACTACCTATAAAAAGAACGAAAAGTCTAGTCAAGTACAAGAAGGCACACTCAAGCCCAGTGACTTAAAAGCACTTGAAAAGTCAACATAGAATTGTGCTGCCAGGCGCGGTGGCTCACACCTGTAATCCCAGCACTTTGGGAGGCCGAGGTGGGGGATCACAAGGTCAAGAAAATTGAGACCATCCTCCCCAACATGGTGAAATCTCGGCTCTACTAAAAATACAAAAATTAGCAGGGCATGGTGGTGCGTTGTCTGTAGTCCCAACTACTTGGGAAGCTGAGGCAGGAAATCACTTGAACCTGGGAAGTCGAGGCTGCAGTGAGCTGAGATCACAGCACTGCACTCCAGCCTGGAGAAAGAGCAAGACTCTGTCTCAAAATAAAAACCAAAGAATGGTGCAGAGAAACTATGCAAATACTAACACAAAGGAAAAGAAGGAGCACTGGAAGCAGGTGAAGTTCCTGCAAGGGGTTTTCAGCCTGGATTGGGAACAGTCAGGGCCCGGCAGGGTGCAGTGACTCACGCCTGTAATCACAGCACTTTGCAAGGCCGAGCTGGGCAAATCACCTGAGGTCAGGAGGTAGAAACCAGCCCGGCTGACATGGCCATCTCTACTAAAAATACAAAAATTAGCTGGACTTGGCGGCGTGCAACTGTAATCCCAGCTACTCAGGAGGCTGAGGCACCAGAATCACTTCAGCCTGGGAGGCAGAGGTTGTGATGAGCTGAGACAATGCCACTAGACTCCAGCCTGGGTAACACAGTGAGACTCTGTCTCAAAAAAATAAATGAATAAAAGAAACTGTCAGGGCTAAGCTGAGCATATCCAGCCAAGCATGGAGTTAACTCCTTGGGTCTCAGGTCCTGGCACCAAGGTCACCTGCCCTGGCCATTCCTCTGGAATAATGACACCTCGAAGAAATAGCCTCTCTACCTCACTCCTCGAGTGCCAGGCTTTCCTTTAAGCAGCTGCACGGAGCCCCACCCCCAACTCACCACTAGTGGTTACTTAGGGAGCACGGGCTCTGTAAACCCCCACAGGAGAAACAAGGGCCATGAGCATAGGTCCAAGGAGGATCAGCAAAGGACAGAGGTCACTGTCTGAACGCGAGACTTGAAACCAGTGGGCACAGTTCCCAGGAAGGCCAGGCCTGCTCTGGGCTTTCCTTGGAGCCAATTTAGAGCCCCCCGGACTGCTCAGGTGGGGGCACTCTGGAGAACGTGGCCCAGGCTCCACCATCTGGTCAACATGCTCCTATCCCTGACTCTACATTCCAGGCCACCTTGGTTCTCAGCCTGGACCCTCTTCTCCACCCTCTCTGTGGAAAAACTCATTAAGTACCATGGCTTTAAAATGCACCCTTAGGCTGATAATGTCCAGATCCAAGTGTCTAGCCCTGACGGGGCCCCCTTCTGAATCCACAGACTCACATGTCACCTGGATGTCTCATGCGACTATGTCATGAGCAGCTCCTCCTTGTCTAAAGCAGAGCTGAAGCTCCTCTCCACACCTATCCAGCCCTCCCACCCCTCCACTCACCTTGGTAAATGGCACCACCAACCACCCAAGTGCTCTCACTGGGAAACTGGGCGTCCTGGTTAAATCTCTCCTTTCCCTTAATCTCCCCACCTCTATCCAGGACATTAACCGGTCCTGGCATCCATCCAACTCAGCCCCTAGTTCCATTTCTTTCTACACTTCCCACAAACTAAAATTATCTTGTCCATTTGGTTTGATTCCTTTTTTGTTGTTGTTGAATCCCTTCTTAAAATGAGGGTGAGGTCAGCATCTGATTTCTTGCTCATCAATTCATCTCCAGAATTTAGCCCAGTTCCAGACAGAAAATAAACACTTAGTGAATACTGGTTGAATAAGTGAAGGAAGGAATTCGTTGATAGAGACTTTGCCCAGGGTGAAGCAGCTGCCCCATGACTGGCCTGGCATAGCCCCATAGGGCAACGCCCTGAATTGGGTCGGGCACTGAGTCTCCTCACCTATGTCTCCTTTGCCTTTTCACAGAAGGATACCAACCAGAAAAAAGGTACGTTTCTACTCAAATGTGAAACAACAGCTCCTGAATCCCCCCTCCTCCAAAAAGTGGAACCGGTGGCTGGATTTCCACACTGAATCTCTTCAACCCCCAATGGCAGGTTTTCTTTCTCTAACTGCCATTTCTCATCTCTAAAACAAATTCTTCCTTGTCCCATGATAGAAATATGGCTTCCCTGGCCTGGCCTGACTCCACATTTTTATTCCACAGCCTACGTGTTCTCTCCAGGTGCCCAGGTAGCGTGGCATGCCTGGAAGGCAGCAAGTACAGTGTTGGAAGCGGAAGGAGCTCCAGACTCAGGATGCTGGGCTTCCTTCCCAGCTCAGGCATTCACGCACTATAAGATCCTACAGGAGTCACTCCGCCTCTCTGAGCCTCAGTCTTCATCTGGAAGTGAAGGCTTGGACTCCTTGCTTCTGAGTCCTTTCCAGCAGTGACCTTCTGGACAGCACTCCCATGGCCAACTGACACTTTAGCAGAGCTTCTTGGTGCAGGGTAGACGCCAGGATGACAAGAATCCTCATGGCTGGTGGCCAGGCGAGGTAATCCCAGCACTCTGGGAGGCCAAGGCAGGCAGATCATGAGGTCAGGAGATTGAGACCATCCTGGCTAACAGAGCGAAACCCCGTCTCTACTAAAATACAAAAAATTAGTTGGGCATGTGGTATGCGCCTGTAGTCCCAGCCGCTCGGGTGGCTTAGGCAGGAAATCGCTTGAACCCGGGAGGCAGAGATTGCAGTGAGCTGAGATCTCCGTTTCAAAAAAAAATAAAAATAAAAATAAAAATAAAAAATAAAAGAGCTCTCATGGTTGGTGGACATCCTTTCAGGCCCTAAGTGTATGCACAGTGCTTAGGTGCAGAGATTTTTCTTAGGTGCAGGAATGGGGGTCTCCACAGGAAATGCTGGATTCAAGGAAGCTAACAGGTCTTTCTTGTTACTGAACTTCTTAGAAATTCTAATATGTGCTCCAAAAAGGAAACATGTAATGGACATGGAACCTTTTATTACAGAGTGTCTCAGTAGAATGGTGTTCCTGGGTCAGACTTTGAAATCGGCTGCTCTGGGGAAACCCCTCCACCCCTGGGCTTCCAGCAGCCCGAACTTTCCTTGATGGGGGAAAACTTTGACGATGTCAGCTAGAGTGAGAACCAACAGCAAGGGAAGAAACCTTCTGCCCCCAAGGCCCTCTTAGTTCCCCCACATGAGAGAAGGCAGGGAGGAGATAGATGTCTGCATGGCCCATCCTTTTCCACTAAGGACAGTGAGGGTACACAGCCTCCGGGAGCAGGGCCTCTCCCTCCCCACAGTGCTCAGAGAATGATGAACAACCGGATCCACACCATGGATGGAGGAGACGAGCTGCCTCTGTTTCAGAGGAAGGGTTCTCCAGCTGCAGAGGCAGAGGCAGGGAGGCCAGGGAGGTGACCAGGGAGCTCAGTGCCCTGAGAAGGACATGGAGCGAATACTCAGAGGCCGAGAGTCAAACAGAGTGCACTTTATTGGCTACAGACCAGAGGGGTGGAAGGGACTGTGGACTATATACATCAGAGCTGTAGTGAGCATCCCACCCAGGGAGGGGACACCGGGGCAGCAGAAGGTGGCGGCCTAGGCCACACCTGGACAATCACAGGCACAAGCTGGAGCCAGAGAGGGGAGCCTGAAATTCTTGTGACTGGGCTTGGCCAGGGATCTGGAAGGAGGAGCAGGAGGCCACCAGCCTTCCAGCGCAGAGCCACGTTCTTGGGGAGCAGGGGGTGGCGCCGGGAGTGTTGCCGATGTGGAGGCATGGGGAGTGGAGGAGAGACCCTGGGGTGGCTGCGATGCGCGCTCTTTATCTGGAGTAGCGCTGGGAGGACTGGGAGAGCTTGATGCTGCCGCTCCGGTTGCTGGCCGAGCTGAAGCCCCCGCCACTGACTCCATACCGGGCCCCGGAGCCAGAGCCAAAGCCGCTGCCACCGCTGAAACCGCTGCTGCTGCCGCCGCCGCCGCCGCCGCCGCCGCCGAATCCGAATCCACCGCCGATTCCACCGCCGATTCCACCGCCGCCTCCCCGGCCAAAGCCACTGCCGGCGCCGCCGCCGGCGCCAAAGCCACCGCCCAAGCCTCCACCGTAGCCACCTCCTGAGGCGGACGTCGCGCTGCTGCTGCTGACCACGGCTGTGGGGGAGAGGACAGGACCAGGACAGCGATCAGCACCGGCCACCAGGCCCGGGACTATCCAGAGCTGACCACGGCAGCTTTCCACAGGATGGTCATCATGAGAGTTCCAAGACCACAGGCTACTCACTCCCCAGCCTTGAAGCCATTATGAATTAGCCAGAGATTCCTCCCACAGTTCCAGTCTTGATGACCCCCTTGGAGGGGATCTAGCCTCTGAATTTCTCCTCCCATTAAGGGGCCCCCATTGGATATTCCACATTGCCCTTCTAAGCCTGTTAAAGGTGCCCTGAACCCAGAACAATTACAAAAGCCAATCGCTTCCCTCTCCTCTCCCAGGAAACCCCTCCAACTTCCATAAAAATATGTTTAAATTAGTTGCTACTACTCTGGATTAGTACAGATATTTCAGAATTAACTCTCATTTTCCTAGCTACTTTCAGTACTTACAGATACTGACGGCACTCGGACACTCTCCAGACATCCTGTTTGAGAAAGCAAGAGAACGTCGGCCCGTCACAAAGCACATCACCAACAGATCCATGGACCAAGGGCGTGAACAGCAGACAGAGCTGAACAGAGAAGCCTGGCAGATCGGTGAGCTTTCTCCACCCCTCTCTGGGCCATTGCAAGGAGAGTCTGTGGGCACTGGTTGCATACACGCTTCGGCTGCCTGGGAGGGAGTGGGCTGGTAGAGGCAAATGCTTCTCTGCAAGGCCTCTCTTTATATAGCAGAGCTCCACCCACGGTTACTTGGTCACTTATCTGGCCCTCGGCATGTGACTTGAGCCAAGGAGCGTGGGAAGACGGGACTGGGGGTTCACCTGTATTCCTCGCCCTCCAGCAGCTTGCGGTAGGTGGCGATCTCCACATCCAGGGCCAGCTTGACGTTCATCAGCTCCTGGTAGTCACGCAGCAGCCGGGCCAGGTCATCCTTCGCCTGCTGTAGGGCAGCCTGCAAGTCTTGGAGCTTGGCATTGGCATCCTTGAGGGCCATCTCCCCACGCTGCTCCGCTTCCGCAATGGCCGTCTGCAGATTGGCATTCTGGGACAAGGGAGGTAAGAAGGATGAGCTCAATGAGAGGGCCCCAGGCCCTTCCTGACGTGCAATGGCTTATCCCATCTTAAAGTCGGGGAACATTTCTCCTCCCCTAGGGTCTCCATCTTGTCTCCATGTGTGGAGATAGTGCCCTGTGAATCACCCAGCCTGAGATCACCTCCAGAAGTCTATTCCAGGGGAGGAGTCCTGAGATCCCAGCCCTCGCCCGTCAGCAGTCATCCCAGGTGCCGGCATCCATGATCATCCCACCTGCTTCTTGACATTCTCAATATCTGCCCGCAGCCTCTGGATCATTCTGTTGAGCTCTATGATCTCACTCTTGGTATTTCTTAGGTCATCCCCATGCCTGCCAGCCGTGGTCTGCAGCTCCCCCAACTAGAGAAAAGAAGGGAAGATGGGGTATTCCTTCAGCTTTGCTTGACTTGTTTCTATACCTCCAACATCACCCACCAAACCTTGGGAAGCTCAGTAAGCATTTGCTAAAATGATAATTGGGTTTCGGCAGGGACATCCCCCAGGCAGAGGAAAGAGAACCTCTGGGTTGTTGTGGTAGATTTCCTACCCTGTAGTTCCTGAGCAAGCTGGAGTCAGTCCCACATAGCAGGTGACCACCTCCCCCAGGGGCAAGACTTTCTGCAACTGAACCACCATTAGAAGGATGTCTTCAGAGGGTAGAACCAAAAGCCACCCACCCACTGACCACTGGGAACTCAGTACCCAGCTGTCCAGTAAGCCACAGCCTCTCTAAAGCCTCCAGTGGATCCTCTAAGAGGTGCCTAGCACCCACCTTGGTCTGGTACAGGGCCTCCGCTTCTGCCTTGCTTCTCTGAGCGATATCCTCATACTGCGCACGAACTTCGGCAATGATGCTGTCCAGGTCCAGGGAGCGGTTATTGTCCATGGACAGAACCACAGACGTGTCACTGACGTGGCTCTGCATCTGGGACAGCTCCTGTTAACACAGAGGGAGCTTGCTCACTTTTGGGGTCTCTGTAACAAGGACACAGGGCCCCAAAGAGATTTCCTGATCAACAGTCTCGTTCACTGACTCCTTGCTCGAAATGTGTATGGACTGCACACTGTCCCCAGCCACTCAGAGAACCCCCCGTCTGCAGCCCATCCTGTGGAATCCCTTCCAAGGGTTCTCATCTCCAGGCTCATCCTACATCCTTGTCTGGGGCCTAGATAAAATGCACCAACCTCAAATCTGGAAACATCTCACTCTCCCTCCATCCCCTCTTAGTAGGTAACATCCTCACAGCATTGTAGAGGGTCCTCAGGAAGTCAATCTCATCTAGCAGGGCATCCACTTTGGCCTGAAGCTCCACCTTGTTCATGTAGGCAGTGTCCACATCCTGAGAAAAGAAGAGCATAAAGGTCTTATTCCCCAAGGAACAAACAACAAACCATAAGAAAGAAAGAGCAGAGGGGACTGCCACAGTGACAGTCTTTGTCTAAGACCAATCTCCACTTGAATGGACACTTTGTATCTCATTAGGATGGTCTAAGTACAATCCTACTAAACAACTAAAAGCTGATGGGATCTTTTAGGGACTTTCCGGACTAAGGTGCACCTGACTTCTGTTTATTGCTCCAAAGGCCTGAACTTGGAAGCTCTGTGGCAGTGAAGTGAGGCGATTCCCCTAACCCAGTCACAGACCTGCAGCTACAAGACTCAGAAACCTCACACACAACCCTTACCTTCTTCAGAGTCACAAATTCATTTTCAGCAGCTGTACGTTTATTGATTTCGTCCTCATATCTGTGTGAGTGAAAACAAAAACAGCTGAGTTTGGTTTTGAGGTTACCATAAACACCACTGATCCCTGGAACTCTGAAAGCTCATCTCTTCCATCTCTCCATCCCTGTCCCGCCCCCTCAGATGAGCACATCCTCTTTACTATCTTCCTGTTTTTTAAGGGGCACAACCATGTCGATTTGCCCAGGCAAACTGTCTGGTTTTAGTACAAACTATCTGGTTTTAGCTAAAAGTTGTGCATCCTGGGAAACCCTCAGTCCCAGGCAAATCTCTGGGATGGTTGATCACTGTGCCCTGAGTTGTCCCAGAATCTTTCAGATGCCAGAACCAGGATTCCCCAAAGTGGCTCATGAGGAAATGCTTCCCCGACTCTAAACGCTTCCTTTTTTTTTTTTTTTTTTTTTTTTTTAACACAGTCTTGCTCTGTAGCCCAGGCTGGAGTGCAGTGGTGCAATCTTGGTTCACTGCAACCTCCATCTCCTGGGTTCACACAATTCTCTAGCCTCAGCCACCCGAGTATCTGGGATTACAAGTGTGTGCCACCACACCCAGCTAATTTTTGTACTTTTAATAGAAAAGTACAAAACATGGGGTTTCACCATGTTGGCCAGGCTGGTCTCGAAATCCTGGCCTCAAATCATCTGCCCCCCTCAGCCTCCCAAAGTGCTGGGATTATAGGCATGAGCCACTGTGCCTAGCCTAAACTCTTGCCACAATTTTATTTGCAAAGAACTAAATTGGGGAAGGAAGGTGAGGGGGAACTGAATGAACCAAGCTGTCTTCCATGAAGATAAGGAGAGGGAAATGGGCCAGGCGACACCACTGCCCGGCAGTCAGGGGGCATGCAGAAAGGGCCGAGACTCTGAGACAGGGTGGGTCGCGGCATCTTCCCACTCCTGCCATCACTCACTTCTTCTTGAAGTCCTCTACCAGGTCCTGCATGTTCCTCAGCTCAGAGTCCAGGCGGCTTCTCTCCCCGAGGATGTTGTCCAAGTAGCTCCGCAGGTAGTTGATGTGATTCTCAAAAAGAGGTTCAAGGTTGTTGGTGCCTGAGATGGAACTTGTGCCCTGCTGCTGGAGCAGGTTCCACTTGGTCTCCAGGACCTTGTTCTGTTGCTCCAGGAACCGCACCTGCAACGGTTGCAGGAAGCAACATCAAGCAACACTTGTAGCAGAGGAGCAGAGGGGTCTTCACCCAGGCAGGGCTAGGTGTCTATCTCCCTGTGCCCCCAGCACAAAGACCTAGAAAGGATGCAAAGATAGGCTCCTACTGTAGTCAGAGAGGGTACGGTCAGACGGGTGATCAGTCAGGACACTACACTTGCAGCATGGTTTGGAAAGTTATAGAGGAAGGGGAAACGGGAAGTAGCCCCTTCCTGAAAGCAAGAGAATTAGAAGATTGACCCCTTGGTGTCCCTGGGGACTTCATGACCCGACCTCAACCTCCAAAACTACAGTACACTCTGCAAACATGTACATAAATCTCAGCAGCACCATTTCCACCCATGACTCTACTAGCCCTTCAGAAACAGTGAGGTGGTGCTGGCTGACACACCATAGTTAGCATGACAACACCTCTCTTGAGCCTAGCAGAGAGGCAGCCCCATGAGAGCTATCCTGGTCTGGAGAAGCTCACCAAGCACTCTTCTCTTCTTGACTGGGCTGAGTAGGGGTGCAAAGTCATTTATTTCACCTCAGTCCCTTGGGACTAAGGTTCTACTTATGCTCCTAATCCCTTCTCCAGGGCATTAGTCTCCTCTGCCTGGCACAGCGACATGCAGGGGAAAGGGCTTCCTGGAAAGCCTCAGAGGACAACCTGTATTTGAAAAGTCCCCCATTCTCAGTGGACTCTTCCCTGACAGTGCTCATGACCCTTGCCTTGGGCTGCCTGCCTTGCCAGCCTGGGCCTCAGTGAAGCAATGACTGGAGACTTCGGCAGAGGCTCCGACAAACAGGGTATGTGGTGTTCAGGTCCAAATAGGGGACCGTTTTCTTTCCACACCTCCCCTCACTTGACCATGTGGACAAACTCCGCAGCCCTGACTATCTTCTCAGACCCTAGAGTTCCAGCCTAACTCCTCACCCTCCAGTCTGGCCCATCCAAGACACATTTAAACACTGTGTCCCAGGGATCAAATTCAAGGTCCCTAGCCCAGGAAGGGATGGCCAGCCAGAGTGTCATCACCTTGTCGATGAAGGACGCAAACTTGTTGTTGAGGGTCTTGATCTGCTCCCGCTCCTGGGCCTTTACTTGCCCAATCTGGGGGTCGATCTCCACATTGAGGGGCTGCAGGAGGCTCTGGTTGACAGTCACTTCCTGAATTCCCCCAGGAAAGCCCCCAGGGCCAAAGCCACCAGGACCCCCAAAGCTGCCAGGCCCACCAAAGCCACCAGGGCCACCAAAGCCACCAGCCCCTCCAAAGCCACCAGCCCCTCCAAAGCCACCAGACCCTCCAAAGCCACCAGCTCCACCAAAGCCACTTCCCATTCCTCTGCCACCACCAAAGCCACCACCAAAACCACCTCCATAGCCACCCCCAAAGCCACCTCCATAGCCACCCCCAAAGCCATAACTGCTACGCCCTCCACCAAAGCCACCAGCCCGGGGGCCACCAGCTGCCACACTGATGGAGATGCTCTTGTTGCCACCCAGGTTGTAGAGGCTGCGACTGCCAAAGCCGCCTGCTCCGCTTCGAAAGCCACCGGCCCCTCCGCCAGCTCCCCCAGCCCAGGCCACACTGCTCATCCTGCTGCTGCCAGAGACCACAGCAGAGCGGCCGGAGAAACCCTGGCTCCCGCCACCGGATATCTTGCTGGCTTGTCTGCTCATGGTGAGGAGGTTGGCGAAGAGAAGAGTGTACGTTAAGCAGGGACACTGAGAGTGAGAGGAAGAGGGAAGGGAACTGAAGACCTGTGCAAAATAAATCCCTTTATATACCTTTGAGGAGGTTGTTGGGCTCAAACGAAGGAGAGATAATTAATCCCAAATATTCATGGGTTGGGTTTGCCTCCAAGGCAGTAAGTTTGTTCCAGGCTACCAAACACACCTTGAAAATAATCTGAAATGGTAAAAGTGCTAAGGTGGCAGGCTTTCCTGGCAAGGGGGTGGTGCCTGGCGTTGCCCCATACTGGGGCACAGCCTTCTCCTAGCTTTGTCTGACAGGACCCAGGAGGCATGCTCACCTGCCTCAGGTGCTCAGAAGCCATCCCTCTGCCTGTTAGCTGCCCTGAGTCCTGCAGAGCTCTGCATAGTTCTGGAAAGAATGAAGTGGAGGGGGAATGGGGAGGTTCTGCTTCTCTGAGAGGTGGAGACGGTGGAGCCCACTCACAGCTCTGGGACAGTGTCTTAATGGGATAAGTGTTGCAGGTCTCTCCACGATTACTGAGTACACAGTATGTGCCCGGCTCTGTGCTGGGCTTGGGGATGAAGTGCTGACCTCTTCTTCTCCTTTCCTGGAAACAAAGACCAGAACTCTCACAAATCTACCTCCTATGTTCTCCCTGTACTCCAAGCTTTCGCTCAGGAGGTAGTGACTTTTTTTTTTTTTTTTTTTTTTTTGAGACAGAGTTTTGCTCTTGTTACCCAGGCTGGAGTGCAATGGCGCGATCTCGGCTCACCGCAACCTCCGCCTCCTGGGTTCAGGCAATTCTCCTGCCTCAGCCTCCTGAGTAGCTGGGATTACAGGCACGCACCACCACGCCCAGCTAATTTTTTGTATTTTTAGTAGAAATGGGGTTTCACCATGTTGACCAGGATGGTCTCGATCTCTTGACCTCGTGATCCACCCACCTCGGCCTCCCAAAGTGCTGGGATTACAGGCTTGAGCCACCGCGCCCGGCCAAGGAGGTAGTGACTTTTTGGTTTATGACTATCTTCAGAGAAAAGTCCAATTAACACCTATGAGTGTTGACCAGACACTGGCAAAATCCAACATGCCTAATGTTTGTTTCTCTTGAAAACTTCCCAGATAAACTCTACACTATTACACATCTTGGGGTTTCTCTACGGCTTCCTTTCTTGCTCCCCACATTTTGGCATTTCTCTGCTTTTAGCTTAAAGGCCTAGGGAACAAGATACTCAAACGTCAATTCAACAGCAAATTTAGCAAATGTTTACAGACTGCCGAATATGTGCCAGGCCCTGTGCAAAACCCCAGAGACCCAGTCAAGGACAAGACACACAGAGGCCCTGTGGGACCATTCTCTGGTTGAAAGATGTGCTCCTGAGAGTCGCCCACAGACCGCCCCCCCCTCCAACCCCCACCAATCCCCAGAAGGCCAGAGCTGGCAGAGCTGGCAGCACTATGGAACATGTCTGACTCCGAAAGCCCAAAACTGCCAGTCCGGGGTTGTTCAGAAGCTTACGATGGGGCTTAGTTTGTCCAAGAGGAAAGCCATCCTGTGCGTTCTGGAGCCGGCCGAGTTAGCTGCTTATCTCTCCAGGACAGGACTTTTTTTGATCTGTCTGCTACACCTTGGGCCCTTCTAAGGGTGAGGTCTGTATGGCCCAGGCAGGAACCTACTTAGAATTGAGAGAAAGGACAGAGACTTCTTCAGCACTCACTGGACGGGGCTGGGAGTAGCCCATGTGCAAAGGAAGTCAAATTTTCTTCGGTGGCCTAGTTCTTCCGTTTTATCCTTATCTCTCCCCTGTGTCACCTGCCAGGCTGTCCAGCATCCTAGCTCCTCCCCAGGATAAAACCGAAAGCTCTCCAGGAGATTCCAGTCTTGTTAATATACTGGGTCCCCGGACCAAAGCACAGTGCTTGGCCAATAGGAAGTGCTCATAAAGTTTGGTTCGTTGAAAAAAAATGAATGAGTCCTTCAATCAATTATTAATGAATTAATGGTTAAGCCCTTATACTGGATTAAAAGCAGATAAAGCTGGTTGAAAGCTAGTTCAACTCCCATTGCGTGAGCTAGCACAAGCTCATTGAGATTATTTCAATGTGAGGAATCCAGACTTCTCAAATTTGGTGTTCAGATTTAGAAAAATGTACATGTAAAATGAGTGTCACCTCCTCAAGGAAAAAAAATGTAGAACCACAGAATCAAGAACCAATCAATCAAGAATCAATAAATCAATCACAGAATCAAGTTGAAGTTGACTGGACATTTGAGGTCACACAGTCTGCCCCATTCGTTGCTGGATCCCCTCTCCAGTATCTCTGGCTTATGTCCCTGACCTTCTGCAAGTTCTGCCCATGGACTCTGAAGTTAACCCAGGTCCAGCGGGTGGCCACACAGGCTTCCCTCCTCTTTGCTCCTTCAGAGACAATGAACCAAACCCAGGGCTAGACCAGATCCTCCTCATGACTAAGCATGACCAAAGCTGTTTAAATTCTCTACATTTCAGCATCAGTAACCATAAAGATGATCAATCATCTCTGACCCTCTAGATCTCACAGGAACATAGCTAGATGAGTGAAATGTCTGCCAATGTTTTAAGAAACATATCGCAAGGCTGGGGGTGGTGGCTCACACCTGTAATCCCAGCACTTTGGAAGATTCAGCTGGGCAGATTGCTTGAGCCCAGGAGTTTCAGATCAGCCTGGGCAACATGGCAAAACACCATCCCTACAAAAAAATACAAAGATTAGCCAGGTGTGGTGGCATGTGCCTATGGGAGGTCAAGGCTGGGAGGTCAAGCTTGGGAGGTCAAGGCTGCAGTGAGCTATGATTGCACCATTGCACTCCAGCCTATACGACAGAACAAGACCGCATCTCAACAAAAATAAAAAAGAAAGAAAGAAGGAAACGTATCCCAAAAATTAGGCCATATTTTTAAAATAATATTTAAGAGAGCAGGATGGAGGACCTGCCTTTAAACCAGACAGAAATGAGGCTGCTGCTTGTTCAGGTGTGGGGCCTAGAGTCTAGGATGATGGGTCTCTAGAAATTCTTAAACCAGCAGTGATTTAGGGTAATTAGTGCCTCCATCAAGGGGAGATCCCAGTCATTGCCAGATCCCACTGATTCTGAACAATGATTGTCATTCCTCTAGAGGGAATGATCTTGGAGAAGAATCTTCGAGAAGCAATGTCACAACCACTGCTGTCATCAGCTAGTCCTGGGTCTGGGACATCCCCAACAGATGGTGCAAGAAAGGGAAAAAGGACATAATCTATACTTATTCTAGGGGTCGAGGTAGCAGAGAAGGCATGGCTCGGCCTTTGAGAGGACAGGGAGCAAAATGAAGATTGGGGAATACATTTGCGGGACTAGAATGTCAATTCTGATCAGAGTGGTGAGTGAAGGAAGCGGTGGAAGGGGAGGAGATAATCAGTGAGTTGAAATTCTTCTTGGTTGGGCCCAGCCCTCTAAACTTGAAGGAACTGATAAACATTTTGAGAAAACAGAGTTAGTTTACAGTCACCCCCAACACCTGAATTATCTGAAGTTTATTAACTTAGCACCCTAAGTGCTTTCTCCCTGCAGAGAAGAGTGAGTCACTGGATTGCAATGTGTGAAATCAGAGACTCGAAGGGCACTATGGCCAGGAGGCTCTCCAGTCCACTCCTCTACCTCGAGGCAAAATCCACTTGGCCGCTTCCTACTCTTCAAGATCCCCATGGAAGGCGATTCATCAAATCTCCTGACTTGCCCAGGCCAGCAAGACCCCACCCTGACCCAAGGAACGTCTTCGTGGATCTAGCTTTCAGACCTTCCGCTCCATTTCACAGGAGCCTGACTCTTTTATGGGATCAGTGAAGTTGTGGTCAGCAGGAGCCCCAGTCACCTGTCTGTCATGGCATGGCACCCAGACCTCTCTGGGTGTGAAGGTCCCTTTTAACACACATACAAAATTATATTGACCTTCACACATGTCAGAACTTATACTTCCAGTATCCTTTGAGAACGTACATTTTACTATGAATATAGCAACACTTTACATAAAGTTGTGGTTCATGATCATATACATTTGAAAGTGGCAATACATACACGTAAAAAGACACACTATTCCCTCAATCGAGAGACAGCTACATCCATATGCATTGTCAGAACCCTTGCAGTCCTGACTCAACGTTAACCCTAACTGGGGCCTCTCAGCCTCAGGTCTCAAGCTCCTGCCCCTTCCACCGCTGGACACTTGCCGTATTCCCCAACGAGCACTGTTACCCGCTATCTTCCCTGTCCTTGTGTTCATCGGCCTCTGGCCCTGGCAGGCCTTCAGTACAGGGGAACTGAATTGAGATGAATTTGCTCTTATCTGGCCTTCAGGAGTAAAGCACACAACCTTCCCCGGCTTCTGTATCACAACCCTTCCAATAGTACAAATGCAGTGGAAGTCACAGACACCCACCTCCCAATTAGATAGACCCAGTTGTTTCTCCCAGTCCTCAGTACACCTGGTTTCCAGGACTCTTCCATTAATATGTTAACGGACCTCTTAAAACTACAGTGCCTTGCTAAGATAGGATACTCGAAGGTGGCTTCAAGTCCACCAGAACTAATAGGAAGCCCGTTTCTGTCTGTGACTGGGGGCACTGTCTTCTTTCAGTGCAAGCTGAAATTTTGTCCCCTTCTGTTGCTCTTGACTCGCATCAGTCCTGCCTGGGAAGGAGGAATGGTAAAGCGTGGGTTTTTTCATTGTGTTGTGTTCCGTTTTTGAGAGAGAAAGAGAGTGTCTCACTCTGTTGCCCAGGCTGGAGTGCGGTGGCACAATCTCAGCTCACTGCAACGTCAACCTCCCAGGCTCAAGACATCCCCCGACCTCAGCCTCCCAAGTAGCTGGAAAACAGGTATGCACCACCATGCCCAGATAATTTTTTTTATTTCTGGTCTTGAGCTTCTAGGCTCAAGGGAGCCTCCCGCTTCAGCCGCCCAAAT